TCTCTTGGCTGACTTGGGGCTGAAGCAGATGCATGTCTATGGGCACAAGGAAACTGCAGTTCTTGGCTTTCTGGACATTTGTGGACAACACAGTGGCACAGTCTGCACTTTTTTTTTTTGCTTTTTTGAGTGGAGGGATGGGACACAAGGAGAGGTTCAGTTTAAAATCTCTGTTGAGGCCACAGTGGAGTGCTTAAATAAAGACCAGATGAATCGGGCACAGCTTGACCACAGTTTCTGTTCTATCCTGAAAACAGTAAGTCTAGGCAACCTGACATTAACATAGTACAGATCACTACTTTTGGTAAGATTTTTACAGTTTTTTCTCTCACACAGTCTACACTGACTCTGTCAAAAGTGGAAGTCCCCTTTTTGGTGGAATATTCATTAAAACCCAAAAATGCCAGTGTCAGGTGCCAGTGTCAGGTGCATTTAAAGAATTCAGGTTCCTTTATGTTAACACATTCAGTGCTTAACCCTGCCAGAGCAACTCGAGAACTGGATCAAAAGGTTCTACCTAGTTCTGTACACAATTGGTGAAACCAGACAAGGAAAGTATGCACAGTAGAGAGAGAAAGATGAGAAAAGATCACAAATCTCCCTTTGCAGAGAGTTCTTCAGTTTTCTTTCTTGTTTTTTAGCTGCCTTTCTTCATATTCAGTTACCATCATGGGGGTAAGGAGACGTAGCAAGAACTTCTCACGATCCTGAGATGCTTCTGCTACCAAGAAAGTCCTCAAAACTGATGATTAGAGACTGGGGGCACTCACCAGCTTCAGTGGTCTGGCATGGAGTAGCGAAGTCCCAGGCTTAATGCCTTCCCCAGTGCAGGAGCAAAAAACACTGACAGACTGTCGCAGAGGGCTGTCCAAAGTGGTTCGCTGGTGCAGTGACACAACTGTTGTGTGGACACAGCCAGTGGTTGGAACAGAAATCCAGCGGATTTTGACATCTCTTGTCTTGAAGAAGCTTTTTTTGCCATCTCTCTTGACACGCTCTGTAGAAATCTGTCACTTGTATTATGAGCAATGCTGCCACTGAGATAGGGGGTGATGCTTCTCTCGATGCATCTCCAGCTGCCCAGATTGTTGGGAGACCTTCCGTTTAGATGGGTGCTGAAAAAAACAAAGCAACTTGATTTTAGAATAAAAAAAAAAATCCCCCTGAAATAATCATGTCCTAGAGCTGGTTTTGCTACATAATCAGTGGGACAAGCTGCAAAGCTATAGAAAATATGTATTCATGCTGCTGAGAAAGAATCAACCATAGTGAAGCCCTGCCTGGATACCTGTGACACTGGGGGCCCTCTGCCCTCCTGCCACAGACTGAAAGTACCTCTCTTTGTGCAAATGCTGTAAAGTGCCCTCCTGCTACCATCCCTCTCCCTTGTGAAGAGATCCTGGTGGCACCTTCGGTTCAATTTAAGCTACTTCACAGTACGAGGTGCTAAAGCCTGTCTGTGGTCAAGGGAAAAAAGCTTCCCAAGCTTCCTCTACAGGCAGAGAAGGGATCCCTCCAGAGAGCAATTCAGAATTGCTTCAGCTCCGAATTTCTGCTCACCAGAACATCCTGCCACACACTGTAATGGGTGTCTGGAGATACTAACCCCACCAGGATGAAGTTACTCTTCTTTGTGGTTCTTTCTTGCAGTTTCTGAAACTTTTTTTCTTTGTAATGGCAAATCTACTTTCAGTAGGCTCTTTTTCATTTGCAGGATTCAGGATTCCTACCCCCCATGAAACAATCTGACCTTCTCCATCAAGTGAAACCGCTAGAAGCAGAAATGTTATTTACATCAGTATTGAAAAGCAAAATGCTGTGGCAGAGTGTCCCTGTGGGTGGACCTCTGCAGTGCCTTCTCTCCATCATCTACTACATGCAACTTGCTTGAAAATATCCAATGAAATAGGCTAGAATTTCTCCAAGAGACCATCTTTTGTCCCAAGATAGCACCAGTTATTTCTAAATAATTTCTGAGAGATACTGGCTTCCTCTTTCACTAATTGAAACAGAACAGCAACAAACTTGGACTGATGGAGACTTGACAGCCTGCACAAACTTTGTGCCTCATTGCTCAACTACAATTACCCTTAGAAAAGCATTTATCTAGCTTAAATCTCCTTTGTTGAAGCCTGTTGTGCCTTAAGTGCTGTGTCTGCGGGATTAGGGCAATAACCAACTTGTCCCATCCTTTTAAGGACTCTGAAGAGAGTTGCTATTGTGTCCTTAGTCAGCCTTGCCTTCTTCAGCCTAAATAAACATAACCAATCTTTCATAAAAGATCGCATTTCCTAGATAATTCTCATTTCTCTGATACTGGTCCAAGTTGCCCTGAAATTAGGATGCCCAAAAGATACTGCCTTCTGTGTCTTTTATGGCTCTGTTGGCAGAAAACAGCCTGCAGAGGTGGAACAGTGGCAGCAAACCACCAAAGCTGTCGTCCTACTTCCTCTTCTACAAGTGCTGCAGGGACATACCAAGGAAAATACAGTGTTTGAAAGACAAATCTCTTGGATTTGTTGCTAACGAACAAATCATACTACAGTAACCTTCAATATAAGATAAATATTTACTCCTACTTACATCACAGAGGTTTTTCTACTTACAAGCAAAGTCTATGGATCTAATTGAATAAGGCTGGGTATAAGTAAGTTCAGAGAAGAATAAGTTGACCTTAAAAGAACTGCTTGTGTTATGTTAATGCAGCTCACAGGAATGAAAGGAAAAAACAGTCTCTTCATCTTAAGGAGAAAATCCATCCTCATTCCTACATTATGTTCTACAGGAAACAGTGTAATTCTTGTTGATGTTTAGCAAACACAAATGTTGTGGATCATGCTGAGGCTGCATGATGAGTCTGGAAAATAAGTGACCATTAACCCAGTCTGCATGACCACCAAAGAAGTTCCAGAAAAATGGTTGTGGGGGGTTTTTTTGTTGTTGTTTTTTAATTTTTGCTTCTGTTTGATATTACGAATCAGGTACATTCACAGCATCTGCTACAGCACACTATGCTTTAACTATTACAGTTTTGGTGAAACCACAATATTTTCTGTCTGTTCTGAAGAGACACACAGACAACAGTTATTTGCTGCAGAAGAAACCATCAAATGAGATATAAAATAGGTAGATATTTCACTCACTCTGTACTCTCACAAGTCCCCAGTGCTGAGTTTGTTTTTCCAAATCTGACTTGGATTTTTTGCCCTGTTTTAATTTTACCCTCACGATAAACGAATCCATAAACCTGCTGGCTTGCAATATTGAATTCCTGCTTAGAAAAAATACGAGCACGTTGAAGGTCTGAACTGCAGATTTATTTTTTTATAGGAAAGAAAAATGCTTAGTATTTTTTTAAAAATTGGATGTACATAAGCTCAGGTTCACAGACATGAAGCAGATGAGACTCCTGCATCCCAGCTAATGGCTTTCTAGCGTGTAGTTTCTAAAAAGGCACGGAACAATCATTTGATGACAGGCCCTGATATGATTTGAAGTGATAAATGGTTACTGTTGTCTAGACTTGAAAATCAGCATTTAAAACAGATTTTCCAAGTTTGACTCTGTCCTGATGGTAACAGGAGCTTCAGTATAGTTCTAGAACAGGAGGAGAGGGTGGCTTCAGCCTATGTGCTCTGTGTTCCCTGTTGATTTGTCGTGTCCTTTGCCCTCACCTGTTGAAGGAACTTCTGGGAGCCGAGACTCTCAGGCTGCCTTTGGCAACATTTACAGAACTCACAGAAAGGGCAGAGAGACTAAGTAGGGCTGCCACTTCACATGCTTCGGTTTGTAACATCCAGCAAATCTAATTCAAAGGCTTTGTGCTGAACTTGACTACTAAAGCTATGCAGTTAAGCCACTCTTGAGATAAATACAGTAATGTATTTTTAATGCTTGGTTGAGTTCATCTGTTGAAACAAATGTACTGTTTTAAGCATGTAGGATAGGTAATATGAGCCTTTAGCCAAATGAGATTAATATTACGCAACACCCACCAAACTTGAGGGCTCATTATGCTAAATGCTCTTCTTTGGACAGCAGAATGTGGTCCGTTCTCTATTTGCTTGCAACCTAGCAAGCATAGATTTTGGGCTTGAAGCAGCAGCCTTGCTCTGTGTTTTGAGACAGAGTCCTACATCTCTCTTGGGTTCTTTCTGAAGGAAGGATATGGGTCCTCACAGAGCTGTTGCAGATGCTGGCCAAGATCACTACCCTGCTTTCTCCTGCTTTTTCGCTTTTTTCTGAAGCACCTGGGCTTGCTAGCTATGAGGAAGGCGTCATGGATTGACAATATGGTTTGTCCTTGCCCAAGAAAAGCATGGTTGCACCGGCTCCCTTTTCTTACATGTTAGTTCTTGTATACCTGCAAAGTGGCTTACAGCAAGTATGTAGATACATCAGCAGACTCAGTCTGGTTCACGTCTTTTAGAGCTACTTCTTGTAGCCAAGCATTGTCACGTCCCATACGTGGGCAAATGCAGCAGTGCAAGGGTACACATGTATAAGATGGAGTGACAGTGCGGCATGCTTTATTTCTAATTTGTAGAAGGCTGCTTGGTCCCAGGGGGATCTTGAAGCCTTAATTGTCTAGCCAATGACTTTAAAGTTCTCAGGATTGATTTATTCTCTGATTTCTGCTTTACATTGTGCTAAGCAGAGTGAGCTACTGGCCCCTGTCCTGTTCCATGGAGGAGCATCCTTTTCATCTGTCCAGAGACAGCTTGCAGAGATCCCAGCTGAGGAACTGTGACCTGAATGGCACCAAGTCTGAGTTACCCTTACATCCAGCCATTAAGTCCTGTGAGGCTCAGGCGCAACAGCAGACAACCATACAATATAATACGTCCCCAGGCACCCCAGGTTTTAATAATAGGATGACTTCCTGCTGTTGTGTGCAAGCAGCTTACTTGCAACTAGCAACATCCTGGATGACATAAAATATTTTGGCAAATGAAAAGCAATTCTTCATATTTGGTTATGCAAATGAAGGGCCTCATTACCTGTGTAGGATGCTAATTTAGAGGACCTCCGTCTCCACAGCCAGCAGGCAAAAACAGCTAGAAGACCTATCAGAAAGACAACAGAAACGATACCAGCTGCTTGAGCACCTCGTCCACTTCTTTCCAGGTTTTGGTGACTTTCTGTGCTAGAATCGTTGCTTTCCTCTTTATCTAGAATAAATAGAAAAAAGGATGTAATAAGGTATAATTTTTCACATTTCATACCAGAAAATATTTGATCCTGTTTTACATGCACAGAAGAATTCTGAAATATCTGTGCTATTCATATGCCTGTGATTCTGGTGGTATTAATTCATTCTGGTATTCATTCTTGCTCAGCTTACACTATCTAATAATGTAAGGTCAGTTTATTCCTCCCTGTCAGCATGCTGCACGCATCCCTATTTGGGAGACAATGTTTAAGCTTGTATCTAGACTCAGTTGAAAGCAAATCCATACCGAATCTATAATGTAAATCTGATGGTATTCAGAAAAACGGGTAAAACCTGCTTCCCTCGATTTAGTGATGAATTGCCACTGATGTCTGCAAACTGAAGGTTTCAAATCACATCTCTTACTATTCCAAGTGTGGTAGCAACAAAAAATAACAGCAAATAGTAAGATGAAGGTATTTTCCCCTAGAATACAGTATTTCAGAATTTCATTAGGAAACCAATGACAATGTTACTTCGTTTTCCTTTAGTTTGGGATGACAGCAAGAGTGTGCTATCACATAAAGACTCAACTGTCCAATTTTGGCTTGTGTGCACAATTTTTGTTCTTGGAAATAGTTTATGCCATTTGGCTACGTTTGTGGGATAAAGCATCGTTAAATACAGAGTTTGTAATTCCTTGGCACGTTCAGGTGGAGTAACTGTGGGTATCCAGCTACAGTTATGCAATCAGTCCTTGCACCAGAGTGTAGAAACCTGAGAGAGAAAGGTGGGGCGGGAAGCAAGACCAGGACTAGCAATGAGAGTGAACAGCCACCTCCAGATAAGCTATTCCATGCCAGACAGCTTCTCTACACAGCTGTTTGGAAATCATGAAATCCACTATTGGTGCTATAGCTAGAACAATTTTTATAGCTTTTTTTTTAAATAGCTTTCTGTTTTTGTGAAGAGTGGCAAAATACTTTTTTTTTTTACTATTGGTCATTCATATCAGCAACAAATAACATTATACTTGTGCTATTAGGTGTGTTGCTCCATTGGGCTAATATCACCTGTTTGCTATATAGCCTATAGTGCACTGTATTAAATTGAGTTGTGGAGACCAAAACCAAACCTTTGAAACTAGGCAGAGTGAAAAGCAAACGTGAGTGCTTGCAAAGCAGCTGGGCAGGGGGACAGGAATTGTGGATCTGCTGTATGGTCTGCTCTGAAAAATAACCTGATTATCCAAGCCACCATGTTCCTGAGGAACTAAAGCGACTGCCCGGTGACTGCCTTGGATGCAAGGGCTTTTCAGTGCCGTTGTCATAACATGCTTGATGGCATGTTCACTTAAATGTGGAAGAAGTAAACATAAAGTCCATGGCTAAGCATAACTAGCTTGAAATAACACCTGAGCTCTTCTCAGCGCTTTTTGGAACTACCAAATTAACGCGTACCTGTCGTTAGTGTGTATCTACAGATGGTTGATATTCCTGCTACCTAGAAACCATGAAGTAGCATGAAGGGACTTACAGTTGGCTGATAGATTTTCTTGCAGTATTTTATTTTCGACGGAGCACTCTATCTGCATGTTAGAAGTGGTGTTAACCTTCAGTGTGCTAAAAACACTGTAAGTGCCATCAGCGTGGTATGTGATATTTAGCTCTGATGGAGGCAGGACGCTGTTGTCTGTTCTATTTATCCAATAAACGTTGGGCTTTGGGTATCCATTGTCGGACCTGCAGCTGAAAGTCACCTCCTCTCCAGTGCTGTCACTGTTTCTTACTGGTCCACTGAGTATGGGTTGGCTATAACTAGCTGGAGAGCAAGAGAAAAAGAAATAGTCATTAACATGTTGAAACGTATTGAAAAGACAAAATTCTGTTGTGGATTCCGAAGCAGAAGTTCTGGTTTCCGCACGACTCATGACTTAAAAGGGAAACACCTGCAGGTTTGGTGTGTAAACCGGAGAGATGAGAGAATTACTGGAAGGGCAGAAAGCTGAAGCCAAACCCAAAGGAAGAAAGCAGCCTCTTAAGGTGCTGTCACTCAGTCATATGCAAGAACCCTTATATTAATGAAAACCAAGATGCAAAACCAACCACACTGGAGAAACAGTTGTTTTGAGAATGCTCTCAGTTTTAGATTCCTTGTCTGTAACTTTTAAATTAAAAAGACAGAGCAGGTGACAAGAGCACTGGAACAGGCTGCCCAGGGAGGTTGTGGAGTTTCCTTCTTTGGAGACATTCAAAACCCGCCTGGACACGTTCCTCTGTGACCTACTGTAGGTGATCCTGCTCTGGCAGGGGGGCTGGACTGGATGATCTTCTGAGGTCTCTTCCAACCCCTGACATTGTGTGATTCATTTCATCAAAGGGCTGAAGTATGTTTCAAAGTTAAGTAGAATATTGAAACGGCATGAATTTGAAAAGCTGGCATGAGAACTTGGGAAAATATCTGCAAGTGATACAAGTTCTTACCTGCTAAACTGAGAACCACATCTGTCTGGTTAATCTTTTTGGTATATTCAGTTTTCTCCATTACTACACATTTATAAGTGCGTTCATCACTCTGGCTGACATTCAGTAGTAGCAGAGAAAAATCACCATCTTCCAATCTATCCCAGAATAACTGAGTCCTGTTTTTAAAGTGAATGCACTGTTCACTTTCATTGTCTTGACCAGAGATCAGTGTATGTACAACTGAACACTGTTCTGGATCATCAGCTATTTGCCAATACACCCGTAGATTGTTTAAACGCAGTTCTCTTTCTCGGTAAGTACAGTTCAGTGTAACATTGTCTCCAAGCTTACTGATGACATGCTCCAGAGCAATAGCTAGAAGATAAAAGGGAAAAAAAAAGGCAGGTGAAAAAATTCATTATTTTCAAGTATATTCTACCACATGTAGACTTCACTATTAGTGCTTATAACAGGCAGGTGAGTGTGGTCAATTCATAGTCATCATTTCTACTTCTTGACTTGCTGGCAGCTAATTCTCTATGTGTTGGTTTGTCTGTATATTTTCCAAAGGGACCTTTTACAATATAAAGCCTTTTGCTTATTTCTTTTTCTGAGGACCAACTGGTCTAAGAGTTCCCAGCCCCAAGCATACCTGCATGTTCCACTTTGCCCAGTAACTGGGACTGACTGCAGACACATACTTAAGTCATGATGCTTTATTAACAACTTTTTTTTATTTAAGAGAAATGTCAAATCACAAGAAATGGAAACATTGATAAGAAGAAGAGTGCTACCATAACTCTGAGACCAAAATTTTTTTTAGAAGGCAGTAAACGCAGTGTTTCTCAAAGTGGGCGTGTCATAGCAGTCATATTTTATTGCCACCATCAGTATCACCCTCTTAACAAATATACCCAGCTGGCAAACCAGTATGCCCAGATAACTTCAGTGATACATTCATTAGACATTTACAACCTCTTAAGGCCACCTGAGGTAGGCCAGCACAGTATCTGGCTTTCAGGGCACCTTCCCTGTCCTCCAGACATGAGAAAGCCAGCCTCTCCGCCTGATGAGCAATGAGAAGGCATCTTTTGCTGAGACCAAAGCAACACACACGTTGTAAACGTGGGACTTGGCGGTGAGGTAGGGGTCAGGCATGGTGTCAGAGGGGAGAGATTACGGGTGGAGAAAGGGATTATGCAGGTGGGGGAATTATGGAAAGAAGAACGACAGCAGTGAGGGTTTGGAAACCTGGAAACAGTGCATGGTGTGGTAGGAGGGAGGTGGCAACATTAAAGGCAGACAAGTCTTTGTGCTGGTGTGTTGGCCTCAGAAATCTCATCTACATGTCTGAGTTGGGCACCTTGGCTTAAAAATACACCTGAAGCAAACTCAGTACTTGCAGGGAGGAAGGCAGTATGTTCTCCCAGCCCTTATCCTCTGCTGGGGAAGACAAGAAGCAACAGGCTTGAACTGCAACAAAGGTCCTGCAGCTCAGGCTTTGGGAAACCCCTTGTATCAGCAGGGAAAGTGATGGTCTGGGGGGGAG